AGAGCGAAGGCACCGCTGCAAGTTGGGTAGCGTGGAGGGAGATGAAGAAAAGGAAAAAAAAATTGGGGCCCGTAAAGTAATAAATAAAAAATAATTAAATAAAAGAGGTAGTGAATACACACTGTTTGCTTGGAGTTATGCAGAGATTTTTTTTTTTTCCTTTTGGCATTTTGCTTCTCTGATATATTAGGAATTTTTTATTTGAATTAAATCTAAATTTGGAAATTATTTTTGTATTAAAAAAATATTTTCTGTAAATTTTTTAATCCGAATATATTTATTTCATTAAATAGTTTTAAATTATTGTATTATGTAAATTGGTATCTTTTTTTTATTTCACATTATCTAATAAATGTAGTACCCATTTTAATAATTTTATAAACTAAGTTTAATTATTCAATCACAATCTAAACAATTTTTACTTTTACCCAATTTAATTTTTTGAAAAACCAATTCCAATATAAATCACATTATCCAATCTAATCTTTACCTAATCTCATTTTTTATAGATCAAATTGAAAATAAGTTACTTTTTTATTCTAAACAGGCACTTAATCATGTTCCAAATGTCTTAATCATGAGCTGGAAGCTTATGTGATATGCACCCAATCTTTCATAAGCTCGAAGCTGTGATGGTAAACCCATGATCATATCGAAACACTTCAGCTGCTTCCCTATATATCTTTCCTATATTATTACGAGGAATCCCATGGTTACAAAGAACGTAATGGCTCACCCAGCAACACTTGATCATCACCAAAAAAAAAAAAACCATATTTTTCGGTAAAATAGATGCATGTTGAGGGGTCTTAAACCGATGCTAGAAGGGCTCAAATTCATTAATGCGATGATAACGCAAATACCTGGAAACTGATCGCCAATGTCAGCCTCTTCTGTTTTTCAAAATACAGAAGGGTTTTTTGGTCTTTTATGCTTAATTTTATAATTTTAATTTATTATCCAGTCCCTTCAAACAATTTTTTTAATTCAAGTACCCATTTTATTTTTAATAGTCAAGAAGTGTTTGATGTGTGTCTTTAGATGTACTTGAAAAGTTGTCCTCCCTTCAATCCTTATTATAAGGATTTTTAACATTTTCATAATGTAATATATTTTGTTTAAAATATTAATTTTTTTCATCTAATACTCTTAACTAACTATAAATCTTACTAATTAATTACTACCTTCGATCCTTAATATAAGAACTCATTTAATTTTTATTTTGATCTCAAATATAAGACTCTAATCTACTTTGTCTCTCATATTTATCTTTTTTTTTTTCTTAGATAGTTCTTGTAATAATGATAGTTCTAACCAATATACTTGATTAGCAAGAATATTTTTTTTTAAAAAATACTTATTTATTACAAATAACTAATTTAAATAGTTTTCTTAATCTATTTAAATTAGCTAACTGGTTTTTATATTAAAAATCAAAGCTAGTCGTTAAATTTCTCCGCTGATTTTTATTGAAAATATTACTCCCTCATCGTCTTAATTTAAGTGTAGAATATCTATCTAGGAGTTTTCGAAGTTCACGCAAAAACTTCGATCATTAACGATGGAACTTTTTGAATTCGTCCGTCAGGTTAGTAAAAGTCGGAAAAAGCATATATGGATCTCTCTCCAATATTGATGTCAAAACTGGGTAACCCCATTGGGCCAGCCGTTCAAGCCTTTTTAAATGAATGACGGGACTTGTATTTTAAGAGGCTCAAAAACATTAGGCTAAAAAAGGTTAGCCTTTTAGAATTCAGAAATAAAAAAGTCAACTCTCTTAAACCCGTCTATTTTATTTAATATCAAGATATTTATACAATTACATATTAGTTTTTTATGGATAAGTCTGAACTAAAAAATTATTTAGAAGAACTAATACTTAATCCGGATAATTGAAAAGAATTAGATGTTTTGAACTGGAGGAAGTATAATTAAAATTAATTTTCAATTCTTTTGAGGATACCAGTTGATATTCATAACATTTCAATCACTACAGTAGCTGCTGAATCTTCCTTTTACTATTGTTTCATATGTCTAAACAAAATATAAAAATTCTCTTATTCTAACAAATATTTAGGCTTTTATTTATACTCATAACTACTATATAGTTTAACTTTAGATAAAAGTGATGAAAACAAAAACCTTGATATTTTTATTACCGGATAAGAGCCCATCTCTAGTGAAGAAAAATCAAATACTGTTGATTTTAATGATGGTGATGAAGATGAAGATAATAATTATGTTGATGTTGTTAATCTTTAGCTACTTTGTTTTTGTCTATTTGCTTTCCCTGTTTTATTTGGTTTCGTTTTTTGAATTTGGATAACAATCATTAGTGTTTGATGTTTTTCTCTATACATCACTAGTTCATTTTACTAATATTATAATTTGAATAAAATTTTTTTTGATGTTTTATTATTTCTTATTTCAAAACAATTGAAAAGAGTTTAAATTTTAAAAAATAATATAAAAGGGCCGGCTTTTTTAAACCCTAAACCCATATATTCGAGAGCCAAGCTTTAATAATATGATAATTTTAAAATATGTGGGTTTTAAAGGACCGGTTTTATTGATGCTTTGGCCCTCCAAGGGCTAGCCTTTTTAAGGTTGGGCTATCCCTTATTGAAACCTCTATCCAATAGCATTCTCTCTAAACCCCAATATGACATTCAATATTTTGGTTGCCCTATCACTTAACCTGGGCGATAATTTGACCCAAAAAAAAGCCTGGACGATAAAGAAAAAGCGTTGACAAATTCTTTGAAAAAAAACAAAAAAGAAAAGAAACCAAAAGAAAGAAAAGAGGAGCTACTTTTTTTTTTTTGGTTATTTAATTGCCAACCTTGCAAAATAAAGACCCAAATGGGCGATCACCTTCCATTAACCAGTAAGACTGGAATTCTCTAATGTTAACTCCAGTCCTTAATATAATAACTAATTTGACATTCAATTTAATTCTAAATATAAAGCTCTAATTTATTTTGTTTTTAATATTTATTTATTTTATTCTCAAATCATTCTTATAGTAATTGTATATGTTAATAAATTAGTATCAGTGGGTATTTAAACACACATGATTAATAAAAGTATCTTAATGAAGACAATATTTCTATATTATAGAAAAATGGTGGATGTAAGAATCCAAGGCTAATGGAATCATGCCTTTCAAGTCACACGTTTTTTACCACATCATTTCAAACAAAGCTTTATCATAACATTCTTCTAGTTTGAAGTATTTACTACAAATAACTAACTTAATTAAATTTCTTAATCTCTCTAAATTAATCAGTTGGGTCTTATATCAACAATAAGAGGTAGTAGTTTATATACCCATTACCCCATCTTTCACGTTATTGCTAATTCAGAACTTTGAAATGTTAATTATTAAAAATTACTATAAGAAGCCTGTAAGGAGCATATAAACAATATAATACATGCAAAGCCATGATAAGCTTTCGTGATTTCTACATTGCTATGGGTGTGATAGTGGTATTTTTATTATGCTTTGCTATAACTTGCTTCCAAATTAATAGCCGCAGCCGATATGACAGAACAAGAGAAACATGCTTTGCTTCAGACCAAATGGTGGAATTTTAGCAATATTGCTCACAACTTTTCAGAGCCTTGTGACTAGAAAGGCATATATTGTGATGACTTTGGAAGCGTTATTGAGATGAATCAACCCAGGATCATTGCACAGCACCCTCGGCTAGCAGATCTCAACCCGTGCGTTTACCAACCCACAATATCTGATACTCAAGGGAAGGGTCTAAGAGGTAACATTCCAAATGAGATAGGAACTCTTCATTATCTCAGGCATCTGAACTTGTCTCATAATAATCTTATAGGTGAGTTATGTACCTTTCAAATTCACTCACTTTGAAAATGAATTTATCTCCATAACTTAATAGAATGTGTTATCCACAGATACCCAAGTAAGATATTTCTCACCTTATAGTTGTTCTATAGCTTTCTTCAGTAACTTGTTCATAGTTACTTGGCAAAATGAATAAATATTGAAAACAAAGTGAACTTGAATCTTCTATTTAAAACCAAATTGAATTTTTAACTCTCCCCTAAGGACTGAAGGTAATATTTAATTGTGCCCATCTCACACATTATGTTTATGTCCACTGCCTGTTGGATGTTCCTCAAAGACTTTTGACTCTAATGTGTGCCCACCTCACACGTCTTTAACTCATTTTTAGAAGTTTCATAGGACCACTATATATATGTTTTGGATTGTGTTCTAATAAAGAAACAAACTTAAATTTAATTTTTGTTATAAAAAAATTAGAACATTTATGCATTGCTCCCTTTTGTTCTACAAAATTAGAAAAGAGGTGGAAAATATTATATTTTCTTTAATGATAATCAAGGTAATAAAGTAAATTACTCTTTCACTTTCCACTTTAATATTATATATATTTATTGCAAAACAATGACTATAACATATATTTTTGAATTTTTTTTTGTTTTCAATACTTATTTCAAAAAAATACTACACACTTGTTCAAAGAAAGAAGCCTTTGTTTTCCTTACTTTATTTTTTTTATAATAATAGTCAAAGTTATTTAACATGCTTCTTTATATATCACTTAAAAGTTGGTAATTTGTTTTTATAAAAATCAATTTATGCTCCTACAAAGACTTGACCTCCCCTCTGGGGGCTCATTAGGTGGTCACCTAGCATTATTTTCACTATAAAAACTCCAAAGACTGAAGACTTTAATATTGGTGAAGACTATTAACAACTTTGCCCGTCTCATACAGTACCACTGTGTCCATTATTTGCCATGGGACCTACTTTGATGCGTAAACAATTCTTCAAATCCATGATGATATAGTTAACCCTTTGTGATTTCAATATGCCTCCATCTATATAATGACTCTATGGCTGCACTCATTTAGTGATTACTCTATCTAAGCAAAGCAATTAAAGATGGCAACAATAAGAGTGCTATTTTTAGTATGCTTTGCCACAACTTGCTTTAAGATTAACGGTGCTGCTTCTGCCATGATAAAAGAGGAGAAGCATGCTCTGCTTCAGAGCAAATGTGGGGTTTTAGAAATAGGATTAACCACTTCTCTAACCCTTGCAATGACGAAGGCATATGTTGCAATGATTTTGGAAGGGTCATTAGGATGAATCGGCCAAGGATAACTCCACAACACCCTCGGCTTGCAGATCTCAACCTCACGGTGTTTTCTAACTTGGAAGATTTGGCGCTTGAAGGAATGGGTTTGATAGGCAACATTCCAACTCAGATAGGAGCTCTTCATAGTCTCATCTCTCTAGACTTATCTAATAACAATCTTATTGGTAAGTTTTGTAACTTCCATCTCTTACACACCTTACATACTCTCTCCGTTCATTTTTTCAATTAATGTTATGTCATAAAACTATCATTATAAAATTAAATAGACAAATTTAACTGTTAAAATTTGACATGTACACATAGTTGATTGTTGCATATAGAAAAAATAGGAAAAAATTAATTTATGAAATATTACAATAATGTTTTTATAAAATAGTAAATCTAAACCATTCATTTTATTATTTATAAAAGAAGAAATGAGATTTGAGAAGAAAATGAGAGCATTTGGATTCCAATTTTTATTTGGTAAAAAATAATCTAGAACACATGCAACTCAAATGGCTGGTTTTAACAGATGCCATTCCAACACTGATATGAGCACTTCAAAGTCTCACATTTTTGGATTTGTCTGGTAACAACACTACAAAAAAATGGCTTATTATCGATGGAATTAGTGATGGAAAATTATGCCGCCACTAATTTTTGATGAACTATTGATGAAAATTCCGTCGCTAAATTAACGACAGAATTTATGTCCATCACCAAATTCAGTAGCTAATCTATCAAAAAATTTGTTAGTAAATATTTAGCGACAAAATTAGTGACGGAATTTTTTCCATTGCAAAAACCTTATAAGTGTCCTACCTTCCACTGTTGTTAACCTTATTTAGAATTGCTAGATTTAAGTAGAAACAAAATAGTTGGAGTCATTCTTTTAATTTTAGGGTTTTATGACAAATCTCCACAACTTAGGGCTTGTTTGGTTTCTTGTCTTGAGAAATTTTTTTTTTTAAAAAATAGAAAAACAAAAAAACTTGTTTGGCAATATGTTTTAGTTGATTGTTTTAAAAAACAAAAAAACAATAATATGTTTTTAAAAACTGAAAAACCAAAACAACTTTTACGTGTTTTCTTGTTTTTGTTTTTGTGTTTTTTATTTTTTTGTTTTGAAAAATTAGAGAAATCTTCTTCTCTTCTTTTCTACTACCTACTACTTATCACTACCGATGATAACTACCACTTGTCAAAGTGTAATTTTTTATATTTTTTTCAAATGTGATTTTTTAAAAGATTATTTTCCAAACAAATTTTTTGTTTTCTATTTCCAAAACTTGTTCTTAAAAACAATTTTATAAAATTATTTTGAGAATAAGAAAACAAAAAACAAAAACAAACAAGCCCTTAATATTTATACTCAAATTTATTTAATGGAAGTGATGCCCCTTCTTTAATTTTTGCTTTGAGAGATTTACAACACTTTGATGTTTCTCAAAATCAATTAAGTGGTAGCATGCCAGAAAAATATAGAATAGTCTTGTAATAGTTGTACTTAATTACTTTCCACCTATGCAGATCTTATTTGTTTGGAACTATTCAATATGAATATAGCCATTCCTTTAGCATTGTGCCTTATGACAAATATCAAAGGCTTATATTTGTGCACAAATTTATTCACTACATTACAAAAACTAGTACTATATTTGAATTTTAGTGGAATGGTGACAGGTATCATTTCAACTCAAATAGGAGCTCTTCAAAATCTCATTTCTTTGGATTTATCTTGTAATAGCCTTGTGGGTGTGCTACCTTCCACCGTTGCCAAACTTATCTAGCATTGCTAGATTTGGGTGGAAACAAAATAGCCAGAGTCATTCTCTAAACTTTGGATTTTATGGCAAATCTCCACGACTTATATATGTGCTCAAATTTATTCACTGCAGGTAATATCCCTTCTTCAATCTTCAATTTGAGAGTTTTACAACACTTTGTTGCTTCTCAAAATCAATTAAATGGTAGCATGCCAGAAAAATTAGAAAATTTCAATTACCGCTCTCATATAGACGTCTCCCATAATAATCTGAGTGGAAACATATAATACATTTTGAATGATTACTTTCATTTTGATGGTAACTTTAGTCACAACAAATTCACTGGAATATTACCATCTAGTATGTGCAGTGCTCCATCATGGTGTAGTATTGATTTAAGCTATAATAGTATCTCTGGTAGCATACCTAGAGAACTTGGTGGGTTACAGTACATCAACTTGTCATACAATCTTCTCAGTGGCTATGTTCCAAGTGAAGTTTATAGCTCTTTTCATCATGACATTTTAAATGGCAAAAAAGAATTACTTGGTCTAGAGAAGATACATAAAGGCTCAAAGTCTTTACTGAGAATCATTATTCCTTTGACAATTTTTCTTGTCATCATATTTGTTGTGGGTTTCATCTTATTTAAATCATTTAAAAAAAACAAGAAATCCATAAGTGAGACAAGAGAAGCAAAAAATGAGGATTTGTTTTCCATATGGAATTATGATAGAAAAATTGCATATGAAGACATCATTGATGCAACGGAGGATTTTGACATCAAATATTGTATTCAAACTGGTGCCTATGGAAGTGTTTATAGAGCACAACTTCCAAGTGGCAAAATTGTAGCATTGAAAAAACTTCATAGAAGAGAATATGGAAACACATCTTTTGCCAGGAGTTTTCACAATGAAGTGAAAATGTTGAGTGAAATTCACCATCGCAATATTATAAAGCTTCAAGGTTTTTGTTTGCATAATCAATGCATGTTTCTCATCTATGAATACATGGAAAGCGGAAGCCTTTTTTATGTGTTGAATAATGATGACGAAGCTAAAGAGTTGAATTAGAGTAAGAGAGTGAATGCTATCAGAGGAATAACAAATGCTTTGACGTATATGCATCATGATTGTGCTCCTCCAATTATCCACCAAGACATAACAAGCAATAATATATTGTTGAACTCAAACATGAAGGCTTTTCTATCTCACTTTGGCACAGCTAGAATCATTGATCCAGATACATCTAATCAAGCTCTTTTAGTTGGTACTTATGGTTATGTTGCTTCAAGTGAGCTTTTCTGATTCTCTACTACGCTCCTTCTGTGTTGTATTTTATTTTTATAGTATATTACTTATCTTGGGATTAATACATAATTTATGTAATTTTTGGCCTATTGCAGAGCTTGTATACACCTTAGTTGTTACTGAAAAATACAATGTTTATAGTTTCAGGGTGGTGACATTAGAAACAATTATGGGAAGACATCCTAGAGATTTGATATTATCTTTGTCAAGAATCTGTATAGGAAGCATTTTGCTAAAGGATAGTTTAGACTCATGTCTCCGTTTGCCATCACGAAAAGATGCAAAAGACGTGATTTTTCTGGTCACAATAGCATTAGCATGCTTGAACCCATCTCCTAAATCTCGACCATCAATGCAACAAGTGTTTCAAAGGCTTTATCTACAAACCTTCCGTTAGTCTTTCCTTTCAACAATATCTCAATCCAACATTTAGTGAATGAAGATATGCCAAGAATGCAGTAAAAAGCTTGGACATTTGGCTTATTGTTTGCTTTATACATGAGATGAAACCTTTAAAGACTTGCTTCAAAGTCTAGATTTGAAGTTTGCCATATGTTTAATTTCTTGCCGCTGATATTTGTCTTATTTTGTTTAAATACTAAGATATGAAAATTGAATTACAAGAAATGTATACACAAAAGCAACCTCACCAAACCTACCTCTACGCAGAATGTTTTTGTTACTAAACTTGTCTATTGGAACTTGAAACTTTTCAAGCTGACCAAAGTGAGTTTCAAGGGCCTCCTCAGATCAGCTTCCAATATAAGGGGAAAATGTTAGTAAATCATATATGGCTATCATATGAATCATCAATCATTATATATAACATCTTTTCCATAATTCAACTTATTAATAGGAACATCAAAGAAAAAATCTTCTTGTCTCCTCTTCCATTAATAAACATTTAGAGCAATAACAGCTCCAGTAGCACTACTTCCTATAACTGTACTATCAAGTAGAACAGAGTGATTGGCAGAATTTTGATATGTTCCCGCTCATTAATGGCTATGAGCTTACACTTCATCATTATATATATATATATATAGATAACTTAATTTCTACATTTGCATAAGGTCATGGAAATTTAGTAGAAATACTTACAGGACTTGCAATGAATTTGAAACATCCTTCTTTTAACCCCTCAGAGTACGTGTTTGGAAGTGTTATGGTTGAAGCAATTTATGAAACAAGCCCATAGATTGAAAATTGCATTAGGTTCTCAGGTTACTGTTCATGGATTAAATTTCAAATTTTTGGTCCAACTTTAAAAAATCATGACTAAATCTAGAAAAATCAAAATGGAATGATTCTAATTTTCACATAAATCCCTTTCAATTCTCTACAAGCAAAAAATAACAATATGAACTTAAACCTTGCCAATTCATACAATTTATTTATTAAATATTACTGTTTATTTGGTCAAAATAGTATTTTCCAGAAATCCTGCCTCAACTTTGAATAACCATAACTCTTAGCATACACATCCATTTCACATGATCTACCATTTGTTTTAAAGCTCAGGATATGCTCTAAATACTCACCAAATTTCATGGCAAAATTCGTTCATTTGCTCTGTCTCATCATTGGCACCAATTCGTGGCTCATTTAGAGACTCTCTAACTCCCTAACTTAATTCAACATTTTTAAATAAATTCATTCCTTATGATTTGCCATGCTATTTTTGCATACAACATTACCACTCATCTTCTCACTTCATATTACATGCCATAAGCATTTATAAATATCTTACAGGATACATAGCATAATGGAACATCAATTAACATTATGGATTACATATCATGACATGTTATGATAACATGGTAACTCTTTCTTCCTTCCATCAATTTTGCCTCCTTACTTCTTGAATTCTTCTTTATGCTCTTTATACCTATTAGGGGTTGTTAAGGGAGGGTGAGATTTGAAAGAATCTTAACAACAAACATTACCCATAAGCATGCAAGACATAATGCACATGCATGACATGTTATAATATTAACATATGAATGCCATGGAAAGTAAGCTAAAACATTTTATGCTTTCATAACATATTACCAAGGAAAAACATAACATAAACTTGCAAACATAATTTTGCAAACATTTCATCATAATTGGTAATATAAACTTGCAAACATAATTTTGCAAACATTTCATCATAGTTTAGTCACATTATGGCAACACAACCATATCATGTAAGCATATATATCAAGCACACATTATAGGTAAGTTCACTACTTTGTAACATGGCTTTCCTCTTGCTTTTCCTTTAGCTCCCTTATTCTTTCAAGCGCATGATCCTTCGGTTGGTGTTCCCAAACATCCTCTTGGATGTCTCAAGGTCCTAAACCAATCAATACATTACACAAAACATTCATTAGAACCAAGACACCAACCTACTCTTACTTGGTTCTTTCTTAGACATACTTTAAACTTAACTTTTGAGTTTCAATTCCAGTCTTTCTACAATCATTTCCACATGCTATTCTCACATAATTTTGTATGTATAATCTATTTCCAAGCTCAAAACAATCAAAATCCAACTCCTTCCCCCTTAAACAGATTTGGCCGAACACTATGGGTTAGGAATCCAAAATTTTCATTTTCAATTCTAATGCTTCCAAACATGTTTTCTCCATCTATCCGTACACAAAATCATCATTTAAACTCATTGGAAACATCAAAATTATTAGAATCCAATCCTAATAGCCAGAATCAGTTAGAACTGAAATATTACACAAGTTAAAGGGAAGTTGGATTTCTTATAAAAACAACTCAAAACCACGTGATTCTTGTTGTTTTCAAACCCTTAAACAATTCCCTAATGTCAATATCATCATATCCTAACCCAATCAAATTTGTGCAGCACCTTGGCCTAGGTTTTTAACCATTCAAAATGCAACCAAACCAACATCCAATCTCAAAAATAGTAAGGGGGTTAAAAACTACATCAAAATCAATAAACATAACTTTCTTTGAACTTTGGATTGGCTTGGGATTACATGATCTTCCTCTCCTCCTTCTTTTTCCTTGCTGTTCAGTCTCTCCCTCTTGTCTCTACATTTGGTCGAACCTTGCAAGTGAATGGGAGGGTAGTTATTTATAACCATGTTGCACAAATCTTGGCCATTGATTTCAATTTTGGGTGGCTTAATCTTGGCCCTTCATTTCTTTTCTTTCTTGCCAAGAAATTTGCCACATGTGCTGCCCTTCCTCTCTCCTCTTAGTCAGAATTTTTCTGCCCAAAATATCTTCAAAATTTCGGACCAAGTGGAAGGGAAACAATCAGCCACATATGCAAGCTTATTTCACAAGCTTACTTGAGATATTTTACAAAGTCATGATTAAACCTTATCCAACCAACTTGAACATGTGCATGGGCTGAGAGAGCACGAAATTATCTGATTCTTTGGGCTAACTAAGTGCCCCAAATCTGGTTAGGAAGCAATGGGATTAATCTAGTTCAATCTCAACCACAATCCTTTACTTGATTTTCTCCTTTTAGACCTTTATTAGGAAAAATAGCTTGGGACCTCTAAATATTTTATTTCTTTCCATGAAAAATCCACATTTAATATAAAAGTATGATCTGAAAATTTTGGAGATTTTTCATAACCTCTAACTATTTATTTCACATTTTCTCTGAAATCAGGCTTTTGCCGATAGAATTTCAGAAGTAAATTCCTCATAAATTATTTCCTTCATTTCCAATGCTTAGAAACAATTTTAGAAATTCAAATATATTCCCAAGGAATTTATTCATATTTTTTCTTGAATTATTGAGGCCCTTATATAATTAAAATAATTATATTTCCTCAATTTTCACTATTTTTTCCAAAAGTAATTATTTCGGGGAAAATTTCAACATAATTTATTTTGGACTATTTTCACTCCGAAAAGATCATATGGGCCTCAAAAACCTCTTATTTGGCCTCTTTCCATCTTTGGAGAATTTTGAGAATTTTGGGCATAATTTTCATTTTTGTCTTTACTAGCCCCAAAACTTTACAAAATTATGATTTTATTCCTGGGTTGGCTTAGCCTCATAACTCATCTCATTGGGGCCTCCAATATAACTATTGGTTTACATTCATTTTTATTTCTCATTCTTGGGCCTTAAGACTCCACTAGAATCTTTAACTTTCTCTTTTCTCAGTCCCAGAAAACTTTTACTTTGCAATTTAGTTCTTGAGAATCCCCCTGTCCCTCCAAGGAACCTTTTCAACCTCTGCCAAAAAATGGTCTAGTAGCCTGTCCTTTTTAGGCTAGTTCTGGTACTTGTAGGCCAAAAATTCGGGATGTGATAGAACTAAAAGTAGTCAAGGTCATGGAATGACTCCTATCAAGCTGTTATTGTGGAGACGCCAATTTCAGAAAGCGTGGAGGATTAGTTTGCGAATAATAGCATGCTAATGTAGAGAGATATGAAAGTAATGGACAAACACTTTAATAAACTATAGAATGTGTCACTCCAATTCAGGTAACATATGACTTGTTCCTGGGAAAGTAAATTTACTAAAGCAAGAAAATCCACTATTGAATTGAAAGTTCTTATCATAAATATTCCCCAAATTTTAAATTTCGTTACGCTATGCAACATTAATAACTTATATTGTTTCTTTATACAAAAGCAACTAATGAAATTTTGGGATGCAATAGAAAGCGGTTAGAAGACGATCAATTTATTCATTGTAGAGGATAACAGATAATAGAGCTTGCAACCCAACCATTAATTTATCTTAAAATTAATGTTCATTTGATGGCAAGCTCACTCATTCATACTTCCCAGAATATATCAAACAACGAAACAAAAATCCCCCTTTATAATTTACTGTGATAAGATAAATTCATATTGTTGAAAAAGATCAAGAAGACTACATGTGTTTTTCCTTGCTCTTGTTGCTCGCCCTCAACTAGGCATGCTGGAAGCCTTAATAGCTATTTGAATGATAACGATCCGATATTAAGAAGGAAAAGCAAAATGTCGTATAGTACTTTTTGAAGCTTGCTCAATGTTTCCAAGATGCTACCAGATATATGGTTTATGTGCACATCCAAGCTCACAAATTTTTCAAATAGCCAAATTCAGCTGGGATTTTTCCAATTATATTGTCACTAAAAAATTCCTTGACATAGAAAAGAACAAAAATTTGGATCTGAGCAAAAAGAAAAGTCCCAACAAGTAGCATAGAATATGAGCCCAAATTTGGTAAGGTCCTGTTGACCCCAAATTTGGTAAGGTCCTGTTGATCATAATGGTTGATAAAGTGAAGTTCAT